TCATCAAGGTCGCTGAGGCAATAGCTTCCCCTGCCACCCCAACAAATGCTTTAGCTTAAAGGGGGGAATTCCAATTCCAAATAGTGTCACCACTCTCTTCTCAGGGGAGGCCTGCATTCCTAAACACACCTACGTGGAGGTTTCATAGGAAGTGCAGTTATTAAAGGTAGGGAGCAGGAGCGATCCTGAGGAGACTGGTCATGGCGCTTGGAGGACACAAAGGTTCAGGATGAGATAAGGCTGAGGAGAGACCTCTGACGATGGGGTGGAATTAGGAGAAAGGGTTGGGAAACTGGGATGCGGAAATGAGCAAAGCAAAAGGAGATACCGAAATCCACACTTGGCAAAAATATGATTTCAGGTCTCTTGGGCTCTCCGTGTTCCTGGGAGGCTGTGAGGGAAACAAAAAAAGGGCCATTAGCCTGTACATTCCAGTCTTTCTGCCTCTGTCCCACCTTCTCTTTCACCCTGACTCCACCTCCCTCCAAGGCCCTTAAATCTCCTGTAAGATTCCATACTTTGCCCAGTCCTTACCAAGCTTCCCCAGAAACCGAGTCATATTCTCATCCTGTTTGGCACTGGTAACAACAGACCGGGGGTTGATTTCATCCAGAACTTGGAAGCAGAATGCAGACCGAATGAGTTAGTCTTCATCTCTTTACCAGAAGGAAACCCACAGCCTCCTTGCTGCCTCCCTCCCCATCTCAAACGCATTTCCTCTGAGTAGGGAGTACCCAGCACATTGGGAGCCTCGTGGGGAGCCAGGCGTGAGAACTGGGAGAGGAGAGGGCAGCGGCCTGGGGAGGTGGTGGGAGGGAGAGGGTGCTTGGAGATGGTCACTGGAGTATAAACCCACCCAAGAGGACAGACATGGCTGGTCTGCCCAGGACCGTATCTCCAGCACCTGACACCTTGCAGACACCCAATAAATATCTGTTGAATCATGAAATAGAGTCTTAAAAACAACAGACCTTCCTCTGGAAGTCAAGTAATAAAACCGATTGAGTCGGTGAGCACCCGCGAGACGCCGGGCGGGCGGAGGCGGGGCCCACCTCTCTGCAGCAGCTGCAGGCTCTCCAGGTCCGGCGCGTCCGGCATGAAGTGGATGGCGGCGTCACTGGTGTCGTAGTAGGCCATGCCCAGGCAGCCCGCGCCCCACAGCACGCACAGGTGGGTCTTCAGGAAACAGGGAGGCGGCGTGGGAACCCCTCCTGGCGCAGGGCCTCCTTTAACTGTCACCGCTCCTCAGCCCTCCGGGGGAGGGCCCCGCTGGGTGCGTGTGCGGCTGCCCGCCCTCCCCGCCCCGTTCTAAGCCCGACGCCCCGGCCGCTCCCGCCTCCCGCCCCCTCGCCCCGCTGCCCCGCCTCGCGCCCCAGAGACCTCCGCCGGCTCCTCCGCGTCGTCCTCCGGCCCCGCGGGGCCCGGCGCGGGGGCCGGGCTGGGGAAGCTGGCGGCGGCCGCCCCGGCTCCCGGCCCCTGCCGCATCCCGCCGGCGGTCGCCCCCGCCGAGGCCATGGGCACGGAGCTCTGCGCTGCGAACAACGAAGGCAGTTCAGGGCGAGGCGGGCGCCAGGGCACAGGGAAGTCTGAGGCGAGGGAGAGGGCGCTTTATTTTCGCCATCTGTGGGGCATTCGAGGGGGCTCTCGGTACTTCCAGGACGGACCGTCTGTGGATCCTCGCCCACCCACATTTCTGTCACGCCGAGGTTGCTCTGGGATGGAGACGTCTGCGGGCCGTGTGGGCGGGCGGTGCCAGCCTCCGCTCCCGCCCCGCCAACCGCGCCCCCGAGGCCGCGGGCCCCGCTCTAGGCTTCCCCGCCCCACAGGCGGACAACTTGCGAGTTTTCCCGCCTTTTCTGTCACCGGGACCTGGACGTGCGCGAGACCGAGTCACCTCCAGCCGAGAGCCTGCAGGAGGAGCGCGCGGGCGCCCGGGCGGGTGCGCGCGCACAGGCCCCACCCCCTGGCCGCTATTGGTCAGAGACTCGGGTCCGGCCTGAAGAGCCAGCGGCGGGGGGAGGGGGGTTTCGGGGGCGCGGTCGCTAAGAAATCTGGACGCTGATTGGCCAGTTCTTAAGCGCGTGGTGCCAGGATGTTCAAACTTCCCGCCCTCGGCCGTCGCTCAGCCCCTGGGCCTCCGCCCCAGGGTTTCCGGGAGCCGATTACCGCGGGGTGGAGCCTGGAGGGGCCGGAAGCCGCGCTGCAGTCCTCCCCTGGGGAACTGTTCTGGGGGCTTGGCCGGGGCGGGGAGTCTGGGAGAACGACTTTAAAAGGCCAGAGACGCATTCTTTTTTCCGGAGAGTGGAGATAAGCGGCAGTAATTCAACTGTGTCAACAACTCTAAGTTAATATTTGTTACTCTTGGTTTATTTATAAAGAGCTTAGAACAGTGCCCGGCAAACGTGGTAAGAGCTATGTGAGTGTTATAAATAAACAAGCAGAAATTAAGTGAGACTCGTATCTCAGCCCTCCTCTGCCGATTTCCTGGGTACAGTGTATGAACACCCCACGGGGCCACTACAGGGCCTAATTTATAATTTCAGGCTCACCCCACCCCGACGTGAAAGCGTTGGAATTGCACCCAATTCTGACAGAGTAGACCTGAAGAACACCTACGCTCCTTTGGGGACATGCCCAACCCCTGTGCATACACACCCCGTGAGGACAGAGAAGTGTCATTCATTCCTACAGCAACTATATAGTGTCTGCTCTGGGTGGTGGACTCACAGTAATGAACATAATTAAGTCTGAGCTCCATGAAGCTAACTTTTGAGTGTGTGTGAGTATAGGAGAAGCAAGGAGATTGTGAACAGAAATAAATGCATACCTTTAAGAGACAGACCCCAGCCGAAACCGGTTTGGCTCAGTGGATAGAGCATCGGCCTGCGTAGTCCCAGGTTCGATTCCGGTCAAGGGCATGTATCTTGGTTGCAGGCACATACCCAGTAGGGGATGTGCAGGAGGCAGCTGATTGATGTTTCTCTCTCATCGATGTTTCTAGTTCTCTCTCTCTCCCCCTTCTCTCTTCCTCTCTGTAAAAAATCGATAAAATATACTTAAAAATAAAAGAAAAAAACAGACCTCTTAAGATACATATTCCTCTCAGCTTTGTCCTAGGTACCCTGCGATTGAGAAATCCCACCCAAGACGTTAGGAAAGATGGTGGGGTAACCTGGCTCTGCTAGTCGGTGACTGGAGAATCCCCTCTATCGAGATAGGTGGGGAAGCTAGTTAAGGGCAAGTTAATGGTTACCCTTTGCAAACTGTTGAGCAACGGAACTATGGAAACCTGGAGAAGGCTGTGAGGCGTGTCTGAGTGTCTGGGAGGGACACACCTTCCGATCTGGGGTGGGAAGAGATTAGGGACTGGTTTACCGAGCCCAGGACCGGGAGAGAGTGGAAAGAAAAACCTGCCCAGAAAAGGAAAGGGGAGATACTGCGACAGGAGAAATCGGGGGCAAGCAGATGAAATGGGGGACCTGTGAAGAGGTTTGGGGCATTGCTGGATGGGACCAGGAGAGGGCAGCAACACCTGTCATCTGGGAGATTAAGGCAAAAATACCTGTGGCTAGCCATGCCAACAGCTAAAGTCAATATTGATGATCAAGGCAGCTCTAGCTGTAAAGCGTAGGAAAGAAAAGAGGCGGGGAGAAGTTGCCAAACCTGCTTGAGTTCAGGGCTGGCCCCACTTGCTTGAGGGGCAGCTTCTCTGGGGCACAGGACAAGCTAGAGCAAAAGAGGACCTGAGAATAGGGCTCTGTGACCTCCCTCAGCTGCAAGGTTTGAGGGTTACCATGGAAGGAACCCCTTTCTGAGGAATCATCCTACCTCCTTATAGGATGTTACAACGCAAAGGAACAAACATCCTGGGAGGAAACATTACCCCCATCCCCCCGCAAGGCGCAAACCCACAGAAGAGGAAGCAGGAGAGGAAACCACTAACTGCTGGCCTCCGGCAGCCCTGTCACCCCGCCTCGCTCCTGCCCCAAGTTCCTCCGTGTTCTCAAGTCTCAAGCTTTGCTTTGCTCCTGTGTCCTAGCACTCCAGCGAGTTTTCCTGGAGCTGTAGGTCTTGTTAGGCAGAGGAAGCGAGGAAGAAAGAGGGATGGTAGATGGAGTCAGATGCAGGGGCTGGAAAACACCAGTTTGGAGTACCTGTTTTGGGGCGTTTCAGAGGTCACAGTTTACAGACCTCCAACACCCAGGCGACTGGGAGGGCAAGGGCCACTCTCCCTCAGCCCTTACTCATCTGTGCCCCCAAGCCTCCGCTCCTCCACCTGCTCTGGCTGCTCTTCCTTCTTACCCGGAAAGGCCGGCTACCCCTCTGCCCCCATCCCCCAGGATTCCTGGGGCCAAAACCACCTCCCCTTTCACCCCCCCTCCAAGCAGCCAGTCAGTGAGAGGGCGGAGGGCACAGGAAGGGCCCGTTGGGGGCAGGAGTGGCGGCATTGGAGCCGAGGGGCTTCAGGGGAGCAGGCCTCCCCAGGGGTGCGGCTCGGCCTCGGTGGGTCCCAGCACAGGGCTGGGTGCCCCCTCCCCTGCCCTGCCTCGCACCACTTCTCTCCACCTGGAACCGGACTGAATGGGGAAGGAGCTCAGGGAGAGGGATAAACGACGGGCGCCGGTGCTAACGTCTCCCTGGGGGCACCGGGGCCTCGCGGTGCCCGCCTGTGGGTGCCCGCCTGTGGGTGCCCTCCCTGTGGGTGCCCCCTGTGGGTGCCCTCCCTGTGGGTGCCCCCTGTGGGTGCCGGCTTTCGGAGGGCGGAGGGGGGCCCTGCCTGATGAAGCCGGGAGACGGGCCCGCGTTCGGGGGGCTGGCGGAGGAGGGAGGCCCCCGCCCCGGGCCCGCCATCGCGCCCCTCCCGGCCCGGCGGCCCGTGACTCAGCCCCAGGCGGGCGGACGGACGGACGGACGGAAGGCGGGAGGGAAGGAACGAGGGAGGGAGGGCGGGAGGCTGAGGCGGCGGCCGGGGGCGGCGAGTGGGAGCGCCGCCCGGAGCCGCGAGGGGCGCCGGCCCGGCCTCCGGGGCCCGCCCCGCCCCGCCCCGCGGACGGCGCTTCCTGGTCGGCGCAGCCATGGCCGAGGAGCAGCCGCAGGTCGAGCTGTTCGTGAAGGTGAGCCCCGGCCTCCGCCCTGGGCCCGCTCCGCCCCGGCCCCGGTCCCCCGCCGCGGCCCCGGCCCCGGCCCCGGCCCCTGCGGCCCCGGGGCTGGCTCCGGGGACACTGACGTGGCGGAGAAAGAGTCCTAGGCTCCACCTGGGAAGCTGGTAAAAGTGCAGGTTGCCCTCGGCCGCAGGACCACAGGGCAGAGAAGGGGTCCTGGGGGGCAGGCCGGGGAAGGACGGAGGAGGGGAGGGGAGGGGAGGGGCTGTGGAGGGCCGGCGGCCTCAGGAGGGCGAGGGGCGGGGAGACCTGGAGAAGTGAGTGTGTGTGTGTGTGTGTGTGTGTGTGTGTGTGTGTGTTGGGGGGTGAGTGGGTGCTTGTATGAGTGTGTGTGTATGTGTGAGAGTGAGTGTGAGTATGTGTGGGGTGAGTGGGTGTGTGTGTGGGGTGAGTGGGTGTGTGTGTGGGGTGAGTGGGTGTGTGTATGAGTGTGTGTATGTGTGAGAGTGTGTGTGTCTGAGAGTGAGTGTGAGTGGGTGAGTATGAGTGTGTGTGTGTTTGAGTGTGTGTATGTGTGAGTGTGAGTGTGTGTGTGGGGTTGAGTGGGTGTGTGGGGTGAGTGGGTGTGTGTATGAGTGTGTGAGTGTGTATGTGTGAGAGTGTGAGTGGGTGTGTGTGTGTGTGAGAGTGAGTGAGTGTGAATGGGTGTGGTAGGATCTATCAGTAGGGAGACCTGGGAGCGGTCCTTTGGGAAGGGGTGGAAGGACGGGAGTGGAGTGGAATGCAGGAAGCTGCGCTGGGGGGGCGGTGGAGAAGGGGGGATGGTGGAGAAGGGGGGATGGTGGAGAAGGGGGGATGGTGGAGAAGGGCGAGGGGGATGGTGGAGAAGGGGGGATGGTGGAGAAGGGCTGGTGGGGGGGCGGTGGTGGAGGGGGGGCGTGGTGGTGGAGAAGGGCCGAGGACTGGGGATGAGAGGAAGGGAGGGGATGAGAGCTCCGCTGTGGCTACCTCGCTACCTCCACTGGGTGAGATCAGAGAGGGGGAGGCTGGCTAGGCTTGGGTGCACATGTGTCAAACACAAGGCCTGCGGGCCAAATCTGTCCCGCCAGGCCTTGCAATGTGGCCCGCACCGCGCTGTCATCACTGCACTCCGCTGCGTTTCCATCACAATGACAGTTTATGACTGTTCAGTAAACCATTCGGTCCGCGATTTAGGCTGGATTTTAGATTTTGGCCCCTTCTCTGATTGAGTTCGACACCCCTAGAGGCTGTGAGGCAGGAGAGAAAGAATTGCCCAGCTCTCCTCTGTGCTGGGTGTGGATGAGGAGACGCGGGCCCATAGCGTTCGGGTATCAGAACCGCAGGCCAGCCTGCCAGGTGCTCAGTCGGTTAGAGTTGTCCGGATACACCAAGGTTGCAGGTTGCAGGTTCGATCACGGTCAGGGCACATACAGGAACCCACCAATGAATGAATAAGTAAGTGGAACAGCACATCGATATTTCCACCACCCCTTCCCGTTTCCTCTCCCTCTCTCTCTCTCTCTCTCTCTCTCAAACCAATTAAAAAACAGCAGCTACACCTGCAGGCCAAGGCCTTCACCGTTCGGTTCCCACCCTGCTCCCTTCCCCTAGGGCCGGCCTCTCCCCTCTCCGGACCTCATCTCCTCGCCCTCCTTCCCCTGGCGGACTCCGGCTTCTGTTTGCCTGTTCTCCCCGCCCCCTCCCCTTCCTGCTTCCTTTCTCTCCTTCCCCCCTTTTGTTCGTCTTGTCTTTGTGTTCCTGCCTTTCTCCCTGGCTTTAGGCTTTACTTCTCCCGGCCATTCCCGTCCGCACTGGGGGCAGTGCTGGGCGGGCGTGGTCCCCTCCTCTCACCCTCGCCTCGAGGGCTGTTTTTGCCGCGGGTGAGTGTGTGCTGCAGAGACTGGCCTGGGCGCTGCCAGAGGAGGGTTGTCTGCGGCCAGAGGGCTGTGCGGGGAGGCGCAGCAGGCAGTGCGGGAAGGGGCAGGTGGCCTTGCCACTGGCCCTCCGCCTCACGGGCCCTGCCCCCCTCCTTGGCAGGAAGGAAGCTGCTGGGGCTGGAGACACCGATGAGTGAATCATCAGGAGCCTAGGGGGAGGTGTCCCTGGGGGGATGAGGTCACCACGTGCCAATGAGAGAGCAGCCCCTACATCTCTAGGGCGAGGCTGGGAGCCCCTCTCCCCGCGCAGCCGCCCAGAAACAGCGGGCGGAGGGGGAGGGAACAGCTCTGCTGGCGGCCCCGCCCGCCCCTCTCCTCAGGCTCTTCAGCCCCACCCAGGCCGCTGGCCTAGTCTCTGGCCTCTCACAGTCCCTCTCGGGGGCCGCTGCGTGGGCTGCTCTGAGCATATGAGTTGTGTGTGTGAAGGACTTGGAGAGAAGCAGCTAAGCTACATACCGCCAGTCTTCCCTCTCCGGGGGCCAGATCCTTTCATTTCTCCACACCATCCCTCTGCCCACCTCTCGCCTGTACTTCAGTATTTGGAAGACCAGAAGCCAACCTTTGTACAAAATGTTTCCGCTGATCTGCTCCAGACTTGACCGAGGCCAGGGTGGAGAGCCCAGTTCTGGAGAGCCGTGTGTGTGTGTGTGTGTGTGTGTGTCTGGGAATAGGATATGCCCAGAATGGCCTAGGTTGGGTGGGTACACCAGGCCTAAGTGGAGGTGGGGCTTGCTTTGCAGGCTGGCAGTGATGGAGCCAAGATCGGGAACTGCCCCTTCTCCCAGAGACTGTTCATGGTGCTCTGGCTCAAGGGCGTCACCTTCAACGTCACCACCGTTGACACCAAGAGGTAGGCCCCCGTCTGTTCCTCTGAACACCCTTTGCTCACACATAAAACACACACACCCAGTCACCGAGTCCTCCATCCGGAACTTTCTCCTACCAAGAGCCCCTTTCTCTTCCCACATCCCCCATCTCCTTCTTCTGCTTCTCTCTGACCCCCTTCCCTGTCCCGATGCTTGCCTCTCTCTCCTCAGGCGAACCGAGACAGTACAGAAGCTGTGCCCAGGGGGGCAGCTCCCTTTCCTGCTGTATGGCACCGAGGTGCACACGGACACCAACAAGATCGAGGAGTTTCTGGAGGCAGTGCTGTGTCCTCCCAGGTAGTGGGGTACATTGGAGGGGGGTGGGAGCTGGGAGGCTCTGAAGAAATAGAAACCAGATGGCGCCCTGGCCGCTTACTCAGCGGTTAGAGTAGGGGTGTCGAACTCAATCAGAGAAGGGGCCAAAATCTAAAATTCAGCCTAAATCGTTTAGGCCGAATGGTTTACTGAACAGTCATAAACTGTCATTGTGATGGAAACGCAGTGGAGTGCAGTGATGACAGCGCGGTGCGGGCCACATTGCAAGGCCTGGCGGGACGGATTTGGCCCACGGGCCTTGTGTTTGACACATGTGGGTTAGAGTGTCAGCCGAGAACCAGGTTCGATTCCTAGTCAAGGGCATGCACCTGGGTTGCAGGTTCAATCCCTGGTGAGCAGGAGGTACTAATGGATGTGTCTCTCTCAGATAGATGTTTCTTTTCTCTCTCTCTCTTTCTGCCCCTTCCCCCTCCCTTCCATTCTCTCTGAAAGTCAACGGGAAAAATATCCTCACTCCTTGGGGTGAAGATTTAAAAATACCAGATGGGCCGGCACCGGTTTGGCTCAGTGGATAGAGCGTCGGCCTGCGGACTGAAAGGTCCCGGGTTCGATTCCGGTCAAGGGCATGTACCTTGGTTGCGGGCACATCCCCAGTGGGGGGTGTAAGAGGCAGCTGGTCGATGATTCTCTCTCATCGATGTTTCTAACTCTCCATCCCTCTCTCTTCCTCTCTGTGAAAAATCAATAAAATATATTAAAAAATAAACAAATAAATAAAATAAAAATACCAGATGGTTTCTTAGGGGCTGAGGCAGGGGAGCTGGGGTTCCTCCCAGGAAGATTTTTTATTTCTCCCATTGGCTCTCAGGTACCCCAAGCTGGCAGCTCTGAACCCCGAATCAAACACAGCTGGCCTGGACATATTTGCCAAGTTTTCTGCCTACATCAAGAACTCAAACCCAGCGCTCAATGACAGTGAGTCCTGTGGGCCTGAGGCTGGGTTCAGAAGGTTCGAGAAGACCCAGGGGATGGGAGGCCTTTGGGCGCCTAGAAACTCAGACCTCAGCGTCAAGGGAGACGTTGGCTTACACCCCTCTCCTTGCATTCTCATTGACCATGGCTCTGGAGCATCTCTCATTTCCCCACCTCTTCTCGCCTGGGGTTGTTAATTGGGTTGGCTTGGCTGCTGGCTTGTTTTCTGGCAGACATGGTTGTGCTTAAGGACAGTGACTCTAGTCCTAGCTGTTTGTCTCAATGAATAGAGTGTTACACTGAAGGGTCCCGGGTTCGATTCTGGTCTAGTGCATATGCTCGGGTTGTGGGCTTGATCTCCAGTGTAGAGGGTGCAGGAGGCAGCCAATCAATGATTTTCTCCCATCATTGATGTTTCTATCTCTCTCTCTCTCTCTCTTCCTCTCGGAAATCAATAAAATATATTAAAAAAGAACAAACAAACGGAAACAACAGTAACTCTAGATCCAGATTACCTGAGTACAGATCCTATTCGCTGGATGACTTTGGGCAATTCATTTACCCTCTCTATAAACCTATTTCCAGATCTGTAAAATGAGGACAGCAATTCCTGTTTTGTGGGTTGATGTGAGAATTAAATGAGTTTGTATATAAAGTGCTTACAGTAGCAGAAAGCTAATACATTAGCTATTGTTAATTTGGACTGGCCTCAGCATTAGTATTCACCCTCTCACCGCAACCCGCCCCAGAACCTTCTGTGTCAATTATCTGGCGCTCTTGCCAATGCCCTCTCTTGTGCAGACCTGGAGAAGGGGCTCCTGAAGGCCCTGAAAGTGTTAGACAACTACCTGGCAGCCCCGCTCCCCGAGGAAGTGGATGAGACCAGTGCTGAGGACGAGGGTGTCTCTCAGAGGAAGTTTCTGGATGGAAACGAGCTCACTCTGGCTGACTGCAACCTGCTGCCCAAGCTCCACATCGTGCAGGTGGGTGGCCGCGGCGGGAGGGGGGAGAGCGGCTGGGGTGGCTCCCGAGCCCACCGTCCAAAGGCCTTCCTTTCTTGGGGCAGTTCCTGTAGATTGCCACCAATAGCAGATGCCACCCCTTCCTTCTCAGCGGTCACTCCCGACAAGACTGTTGCTTGTGAAAGGTGAAAACCGTTGGTTCCCATCTTTTGCCACAGCCTGGAGCCGTGGCTTTGGTTTGTGGAGTCTGGGCCCGAGGTTAGTCTGCCACAGAGCGCGCATTGAACTCTGGAAGGCAAAGCTGTGTGATGATTGGTCCTTGCCCCAAATGAAACCAAGAGAAAAGTGGCTGTGGAAATTTCAAGAGAAAAATGTAATCGTTTGTGAATTAGAGCTCAGTAAAACCAAGAGCAGAAAAGTAGTGCCATTGGAATTGGTCTGAAAGGGGCTGGTTATCAGGAAGGAGAGAGGAAAGGGAAGTCAGGGTACCACAGCAAAGAGCTAAGAATGCCACTTGGAGAAGAGGACTCACGTGGCAGGGAGGAATCAGAGGAAAGAAGCATGCGAGTGGAGACAACGCCTGGTCAAGAAGGCTGGGGGAGGGGAAGAGCACAGGCGCTGCCACTCTGGCTCCCTGAGGCTGAGTTTGCTCCTCTCGCCCAGGTGGTGTGTAAGAAGTACCGCGGATTCTCCATCCCCGAGGCCTTCCGTGGCGTGCACCGGTACTTGCGCAATGCCTATGCGCGCGAAGAGTTCGCCTCCACCTGTCCCGACGACGAGGAGATTGAGCTGGCCTATGAGCAAGTGGCCAAGGCCCTCAAATAAGCTCCTTCGGGCTCCCTCTGCCCCCCCCCCCCCCCAAAGGCCCCGGTGGTTTCCCTTGGCTACCCAAGGGACACACTCCGTCCAGTGGGCAGTGAACGCTGGAGACTTGCGCAGGCCTGCCTGGGGTGCAGGGAAGGATGGGGATCTGGGTGAGGTTTTTATCGTGGGGTGGGGTGGGGTGGGGTGGGATAGATTGGCAGGACATGTATTTCAGTAATAAAATACAGAATGAAAATCTAGTGTTGTAATTACACAAAGGGGGCTCGAAATGTGGGTAATGCGAATGCCGGTGGGTCAGTGACCTTGAGCCGGGGCAGAAGCCAGGAATCAGGAGAAGGGTGCTTGCGGTGATTTTGCCATTTTTACTGCCTACCCATTGTCGCGTGGCCCTGGGGCCCGCGCTGCGTTCGCTGCCCAGCCGGCAGGGGCGGCCATGTCTGGGTGGGCCTGTGCGGCTCGCCGGGCGGGGCCAGTTCTGGGAAGGGGGGCGCGGGCGCGGCGGCGGGGCGGGGGCGTGGCCTGCGGAGCCCGGCCCTGTCCCGCTCAGACAATGCCCTGGAGCCGCCCGGCGCCGAGCCCCTGCCCCGCCGCCGCGACCGCCCCGGCCTAGCCGGGGGCTCCCTCCGCACAGCTAGAGCTCCAGCCCCCCAGGCTTGTCTCCGCCAACTCTGTCCCCACGGGGCTTGGGGCCCCGGCCCAGATCCCGGAGCGGCGGGAGTAGGGGTGGGCGTCGGAGGTGAGTCTGGAGCGGGCGGCGTCCCCGGACTGTGCTGGGGCCGGAGTCGGGGGGCCGGGCCCGTGCCTGCGCCGGACAGAGCGCGGGGGCCGGCGTTTGAGTTGCGGAGCTGCCTGGGGTGGACTTTGGGGGAGACAGAGCGGGCGGGAAGGGACGGGGTCCTGAGCCTGGAGCGGCGCCCGCTCCCCGGGGCCACGCCCCCGCCCCGCCCCCCCGGACCTCTCCGGTCCTCCGGGACTCGCGGGGCCGGGCCGGGCGCGCCGGGGTGGAGATGCTATTTAACTGCGGAGACTCTAATAATTCCTCCCTCCTTGCCCTCTCCCTTTCTGGTTTGGACCCCAGACTTCTACCCCCAGGCCCTCCCGGCTGCCTCCGGTCCCGGAACCCCGTGGGCTCCCGCCGTACTTGGGGTCCGCGCCGCTCGAGCAGCGGAGGGTTAAGGGGGCGGGGCCGCCGCATTTTTGGGGAGTGAGCGCATCCTAGCGGCTGCCAGAGGGGCGCCGGCCGGGGCAACAGGTGTTGGAGATGCCGGGGTCCTGCCCCGCGGCCGCCCCAGGAGAAGCGGGTCGCGGTGGTGCGGGCGCTGGGTGGGCAGCCGAGGAAGGCCTGCGGGAGGCGGCCGGAGGGAGACCCCGCGCTCTGACACCTCCCCACGCCCCTCTGGCTCTCTCCCCCGCCCCGTTCTGTCTCCTCGCAGACGGCTGACGTGAGAAGAGGAAAGGGAGAAGTCGGGCTGCCGGAGGGGCGGCGTGTGGATGGGATGGGGACTCCGGGGGAGGGGCTGGGCCGCTGCTCCCACGCCCTGATCCGCGGGGTCCCGGAGAGCCTGGCGTCAGGGGAGGGTGCGGGGGCCGGCCTCCCCGCCCTGGACCTGGCCAAAGCTCAGCGGGAGCACGGGGTGCTGGGCGGCAAGTTGAGGCAGCGGCTGGGGCTTCAGCTGCTGGAACTGCCTCCCGAAGAGTCGCTGCCGCTGGGACCGCTGCTTGGCGACACCGCCGTGATCCAGGGGGACACGGCCCTGATCGCGCGGCCCTGGAGCCCGGCCCGCAGGCCCGAGGTGACGCCGGGGGCGCGGGGAGGGGCACCCCAGGCTTCAGGGAAGAGCTGGGCGGGAATGTCTCAGTCCTCCTCCCTCCCTCAGGTGGATGGAGTCCGCCAAGCCCTCCAGGACCTGGGGCTCCGGATTGTGGAGATGGGGGACGAGAACGCGACGCTGGATGGCACCGATGTCCTCTTCACCGGTGAGGCCGGCGCCGCCCAGGAGCGGGGAGCGGGGCTGGGGAGCAGTTGGGAGGCCAGGCCCTCTGGGGTCTCGTTTCCCACGTTCCCCCTCCCCGCCCTTAACGCTCTGGCCTCGGGCGCAGGCCGCGAGTTCTTCGTGGGCCTCTCCAAGTGGACCAACCACCGAGGAGCCGAGATCGTGGCCGACACGTTCCGGGTGAGGGGCGGCCCGCCTCGGGAGGGGTGCGGGGCGCCGGTGGGAGATGCGGGAGCGGGCGGGGGCGGGGAATGTGGAGGGGGCTCTCACCTCCCAGTCCCTGAGGACTTGCCCCGTCCCCCAGGACTTCGCCGTCTCCACAGTGCCCGTCTCCGGCCCCTGCCACCTGCGCAGCCTCTGCGGCATGGGGGGACCCCGCACCGTGGTGGCGGGGAGCAGCGACGCCGCCCAAAAGGCGGTCCGGGTGAGCAGGGGCGGGGCTATGGGCCGGGGGCGGGGCTGGAGGCTCCGGAAATTGGCCCAGCCCCTGCCCTCAGGGCGCAGTTCATCAGTGAAAACCGGAGTACTGCCGACTGGGCACCAGAGACCAGGGGACAGAGTGGATTCACATTTACACGGTCTTCCAAACCCCCGCAGGCATCTGCGCTGTGACGTGAAGGGTGGTTGGGGCCCTGGCGGGGCCGGAGAAGGGGAGCGGGGAGAGAGGTTGCAGGTGGAAGGACTGCATGTGAATCTGAGGTGAAATTAGCAGAGGTAACCCAAGCGCATAGACGAGGGTCTGACTCGCAGTGTGTGCTGCGCCATGATTATTTCACCGGCGTCACTGTCCCAGCACTCAGCCCGGGGGCGGGCACCAGGCTCGGGTGCAGAGGCTCCGAGACTTGAGTGCTGCCCTTCCCTCCACACCAGGCCATGGCGGCGCTGACGGACCACCCCTACGCCTCCCTGACCCTCCCCGATGACGCAGCCGCTGACTGTCTCTTCCTGCGCCCGGGGCTGCCGGGGGCGCCCCCTTTCCTGCTGCACCGCGGAGGGGGGGACCTGCCCAACAGCCAGGAGGTGAGGGGAGGCGGAGGGGGGGACCTGCCCCACAGCCAGGAGGTGAGGGGGGGCGGAAGCTCCACCAACAACCAGGAGAGGCATCTCAGTCTTCGCAGGAGGAGGAGGGAGGGGTCCTTTCCTGGAAGCCTGAGTGGGACGTTCTGATGTGGCTGCAAGGGGCTGTGGTAGTCTCACTCCCATCTCCCCGTCCCATGTCCTCCTGCAGGCACTGCAGAAGCTCTCCGATGTCACCCTGGTCCCTGTGTCCTGCTCTGAACTGGAGAAGGCAGGTGCTGGGCTCAGCTCCCTCTGCCTGGTACTCAGCACACGCCCCCACAGTTGAGGGCCTGGCCTTGGGGTCTGGGTTGGTCAGGGCCAGGGCAGTACAGGGCGCAGAAGGGGAAGGAGGGTTAGAGAAAGGATGGTGAATAGTGGGAACAGGGTCCCAAGGTAGGGAGAGGGCATAGTGTGGGAAGAAGGATAGAGACCATGGGGTGAGTCTTCTCTCCCAAAATAATAAAACAGAACTGACCTTTCAGACTGGGCTGTGGCTGCTGTGTTATTGGGACGGAGGGACGGGCGGGACCGGGACCTGAGGCGGGAGGGGGGGTAGTGAGGGAAAGAGGCCTCTTCATTCCTCACGCCCCCGCTGGCACTCGCTGACTCATTGCCCAGCCCTGTGCCGTAGGTGCTTGGGCGCGAGCATGGGTGGGCCACTAACCGAATTTATCTAAATCTCAGGTGACTCAGAGATTGGTAGATTACTAACCTGCCCGAAGTTGATAGGAAGAAATAACACTTGCAGAAATATTAATTTTTATTCACTCAGTTACTGAGGCTTGGCAGTTCATGAAAAGGGCCAGTCTCCTGATTCCAGGGCACTCACAGTTCTCGAACATTGCTCCCCAACGGGAAGACGGTTGTGACGGAACAAGTCACGGGAGGCTGTTGCTATGAGAGACAAGGGGACTCCCCGGGCATCAAAGTGCATGCAGCCTCGGCTTCCCGGAGCCCGCACTTGAACTGAGTCCTGAGGATTAGTAAGAACTAGCCAGGCAGGCAGTGGAGAGGAAGGAGAATTGTAAGCAAAAGTGAAGAGGGCAGTGCCCGGCCAGAGGCACACAGCGGGGCCTGCGGGGTTCCTCCACGGCTGGCGGTGTGTGTGCCGTGACAGAGTAGGCAGCGTGCTGTGGTATGTGACCCACAGCCAAGGCCCCTGGGCCCAGGGCTGCGGTTAAGGAAAGAAATACTGCCGATCTGAAATACAGGCGTCAGACGTAGGTTATATTTGGGAAGGATCTACCTTTGGGAGGGGGGAAGGGGAAAAGCGTGAGGTGGGTTTCTGGGTGACCCAGGGAAACGAGGAGCAAACACTCCGGTGGCAGTGCTGGGCGTGGGGAGGGTGAGGGTTTGACGGTGACGTTGGAACTGGTGACGTGGCTCATCGTGTGACAGGAGGTGTGCTGCGTGACTCAGGCTCTGGCCTCGGCAAGAGGGAATGCAGAGTATGACGGCACGTTTGGAGTTCTGGACAGGCCGTATGGAGAATGTGGAGGGCCAGACAGACAGGGATGTCTGAGGGACAGTTCAGAAATCCCTCAGCTGACAGCTGAGCTGGAGCGTACTGGGTGTCATTGCCAAGGTGAGGGCTGAGGCCAGGTGATAGATAACTCCCCAGAAGAGGAAGATAAAAGGACAAGCGACAATGGTGGGAATACCATGGCGGTAGGGAGAAAGGAAGAGGAGTCCAGAAGGAAGACATCAGCATTAAAGAAAAGCAGCTTTATACCGGTTTGGCTCAGTGGATAGAGCGTCGACCTGCGGACTGAAGGGTCCCAGGTTCAATTCCGGTCAGGGGTATGTACCTTGGTTGTGGGCACATTCTCAGTGGGGGATGTGCAGGAGGCAGCTGATCGATGTTTCTCTCTCATTGATTTTTCTAGCTCTCCCTCTCCTTCCCCCTTCTCTCTTCCTTTCTGTTAAAAAAAAAAAAATCAATAAAAAATATATTTTTTAAAAAGAAAGAAAAACAGCTTAAAGAAGGAGTTATCAAAAGCCAGGCCGGGGGCAGAGTGCAGGAGAAGGAGGAGACAGGTGTATTCCGGGTTCAAGGAGCTGGATTGGAAGGGAGGGAAGAGGGAGCCGCTCTCTTGGAGTGGCTGACGCCTCAGTTAAGGTGGGAAACGCCTCGGTGAGCTTTAGGGGGGCCGGTGGCGAAGGAGACATGGAGGTTCCAGGTGCTGGGGCAGCTGAAGGAGAGCTCAGTGGCAGAGGCAGCCCGGAGCCAGGTCTCCTGACTCCCAGCCCAGTGCTCATTCTGTGCTGTGGTGCCTTCATTTCCGGGGAGTGAAGACGGAGAGGGTAGTCCTGGGGAGCTGGGAGCCCCAGCTTGTGACGTCAGGAGGAAGGGCTTTCCTTCAGACGACAACCGCGTAGATGGTGGAGGAGTCAGCAGGGGCCACTGGGGACAGCTGGCAGGGCCGTCTGAGGGCCGCGCGATCCAGGTCCGCATAGAGCAGGCTCTGCGGGGGGCAGGTGGGCAGCGGCTCGGAAGTCTGACTCCTTAGCAATCCAGGCCTGTCTCCCTGGGTCCGGATTTCTCAGGGCCCCTGGCCGGTGCCCCTCCCACCCCAAGCCCTCACCGACTCCTGGTCCAGGTCCCCCGCAGCCTTGGGCTCCTCGGCCTTTGCTGGTCTCTGGGGCTCGGCTGTCACTCGGGGGACTATGTGGGGGGGACAGAGCTGGAGGATTAAGAGGAGGTGACTAACTCGTCCGCTCCCCGCAGGGCTCGGACGAGGCCTGAGGGCTGGGGATGTGCAGGAGGGGAAAGGAACGGGCGGAGGGAGGCTCACCAGGTCTGGGGCGCGGCCGCGGCGGGCGTGGGGGTGGGCGCCTGTCAGGGCGTGAACAATCAGCTCTGAGAGCCACCAGGATCGCCTCCGGCTCCTCACCGCCACCCTGCGTTCTCGCAGGAGAGCGCAGGCCCCACCCCACCGTGCCGCCCGGCTCAGATCCTGCCTCCTGTTGAGCATCCCGAGCCAGCTCCACCCCAGCCTGTGGCTCACCCCCTTCTCCAAACCAAACCGCCACCACCCGGGGCTCCACCACCCAGGGCTCCAGAGCGGGCACGCCCCCGGCCCCGCCCCTCGAGCTCACCTGTGCCGCCACCAGACCGCGCCCAGCGCGCCCAGCGCCAGCACCAGCGCGGCGCCCAGCAGGGGGGTCAGGAGCAGGGGGTACACAGACCCTGGGGGCGGGGAGGGTGGTCAGCGGTCCGAGGGCAGACAGCTCGCTCTCCCTCTCTGTGGCCTGAAGCCCCGCGGAGGTTCCACCTACCCTGGCGGGGCCCGGAGCCCCCGCAGCCGGCCGCATCGCCCAGCACGCGGAGCACCGTGTGGCTCTCCTCCTCGCGGCGGCCCCTGCAGATGAAGGTGCCCGAGTCCCCCGCGCTCAGAAGCAGCTCCAGCCGCCGGATCCCCAGGTGGTCCAGGGCGCGCAGGCGGCCGGCGAAGGGCGAGGCGGGAGAGTCGGTGGGGGTCCCGCTGGCGGAGACGGACAGGATGCGGTGGCGGCCTTTGGGCAGGCCCCTGCAGGCCGGGAAGCTCGGCGCCCAGACCCAGCGGACTGGCTGGGAGACCCCTGCGCAGGAGAGATTCACCCGCTCCCCTGGACGGCCGTCCAAGGAAACTGGGGAGGAGGGGGCGGCGGTGAGGGCAGGCCCACGGGGAGGAGAGCCCCCTCCCGCCGTCCGGGGTCTCCCCACACCCTGCCCCGCGGCCGCCCCGCCCGGCCTCAGACTTGCCTCGGTAATGCGAGTTCCCCAGCGGGTCCCCTTGAACCCGCCACAGCAGCAGCGGCAGCAGTGGCAGGACCAGGGCCATGGCGGGCTGTGGCGGGGCAAGGAGGGAGTGAATCAGCGGAGGAGACCGGAGGGAAACGCGGGGGAGGAGCGGGCCCGCGGGTCTGGGGGCTGCGATAAGAGGGGGCGGGCCTCCGGGAACAGCGGGGCAGGCTCACGGCCTCAAACCACGCGGCCTGGCAGGACTCTGCGCGCAGCGGCTCCCAAGCTTTGGCTCCTGCAGCCCAGCAGGCCGCGCATCAGGAATGCTGGAGCTGCTGGGTCCAAACCTGCCCTCCACCGCCGGCTGCGGCTGCGGCTGCGAGCGCCGGCCTCGCCTCGGGCCTGTTGCTCGCCTGCAGAAGCACAAGCACCTGCGTGGCAGAGGGTGTGAGCACTGCACGCATCCTCCTGAACGCCCAGGACCAGGGCTGACGTACGGGAACACCAAGTACTTTCCACGAAGTGACTGTCTTACGGTCTGTCCTGTCAGCACGTGCTCCCTGCCTCTGTGCCCACGGGCCCTCAGCCCGCACCTCCCAAACCGCAGGCTCTGACGTCGGCCCCTCGCAGCAGGTGCACACGCTCCACATCCAGGGCCTCACGGGCCTTCACTGGACGGTGCACCCAGGCCCGCCAGCCCAGCCCAGGCCTCTGCTGCTGTGACATCATAGACATCCTTGGTGACACCTCAAACCCTCCTCCCTAGTCCTGTGGCTGAGCCGTGACTGGCAGACCACGTAGGAGCTGAATGGAGATTGATTTGGCTCTTTCCGTCCAAAACCTCTGCCCACGTTGACCAGTGGCCCCAGGGATCCAAAATTGGCAGTCCCCGTGGGCCACACTTACTGTCTATTTCCCAGGAGCCAGCAGCTGCTGGGGGGCGGGGGGGCTGTAACATTGCAGGCGCCTTTGGGGATGCCTCTTCTGAGAGCAGAGGACTGGGCAAGCATGGCTGGGGGGGGCCCGCCAGGAGGAGCACCTTGGTCTGAAACCAAGAACCAAAATGGCTCACCTACATTCCACCCCAATCCTGCCCCACCTCCCTCGCGTCTCTCCCGCCTCCCCTCCCCCACCCAGTACTGTTTAGCCCCTCCCCACCATAATGGGGAGGAGGGGCCACCAGAGGCAGGGAAGGGAGGGACGTTGGGAGTATAAAAGCAAAAAGGTCACTCAACTCCCAGAGCTGGGTCCCCGGATATCTGCTCTGTCAGCCGCTGTTGCCACCCCCTCAGGACCCGCACCATGAGAGGCCTTCTGCTGCTCGCCTTGTCGTCTTTGCTCTGCTGGGTCTCAGGTGAGCACTTGGGGCCCCAAGGACCTGGTCCACCCAGTCCAGACTTCATACCCGCCCCACCCACCACCCCACTACCCACTCCTCAGGATCCCAGCACCGGCCCCAATGGCTGAGCTGTGCTTCCGGCCAGGTCTCCCTGTGCCAGGAGCCTGGCTCCATTCCCGGCGCATGCTCCCCCTCCAGACCCACTCTTCTGTCAAGCCAGGGGCCAGTCCCCTTTCCCCCACTCCACGGAGCCCCTTCTTGGCCACCCTAATATCCAGTTCCCTTGCCGGCGCCCACCCAGCCCACCTGCTTTCCCCTCTCCCCAGCACTCGGCAGGGTGTCCTCCGGAGCCTCGGCGCCCGCCTGGGGCTCCTTTTGCACCCCACCTTCATCTGCTCCAGCAGGGACTTCCCACTCAGCCTCTCGAGCAGCAGCCTTTCCCAGTGCCTCCTGCTCCTCTCGGGGGCGCGTACCCCAGGGACACCAGCTTTCTGGAAAGTGCCAAAGACTTCTTAGACCCTCCTAGGGAGCCAGGGACATTTCCCCTCCTTCTGGGCAGGGAGTGCCAGGGCTGCTGCCCCAGGGCGGGGGCAGCCACAGACTTGTTCCTTGGACCAAATCCCTCCTTCACCAAACCTGCGTGCCCAGACCTTGCATTACTGAGGCAGACTGTGCTGCCGCCTCTGCTCCAGGCGCAGTGTGATCTGGCCCAGACAGTGCCCCTCTGGGAGAGCTCCTGGGGGAGGATCACTCAGGTCGGTGCCTCGGCCCACTTGCTCGGTGGGCACAGGCGTGAAGAGTAAATGGCTGAAGCTGGCCGCACATGCCTTCTCGCCAGCTTCCAGTTCCAAGCCACTTCTGCATGTGTTGTATCCTCCATGGTTTTTATTTTTATTTAAAATGTATTTTCATTGATTTCAGAGAGGGAGAAGGAGAGAGAGAAACATCAATGATGGAGGATCATTGATCGGCTGCCTCCTGCAGGCCCCCTCTTGGGGACCGAGCCCACAACCCGGGCAGGTACCTTGACTGGAATTGAACCCCGGATCCTTAGGTCCGCAGGCGGATGCTCTATCCACTGAGCTCAGCTGGCAAGGCTATGATTCTTATTTTGAATAGTTCTTCCTATTTCAAGTCTCTCCTGTGACCTCCTCTGGGTTCTTCCTTCTTCCCCACCGCCTCCACCCATGGAATCCTCACTTTCCATCTGGCCCAGCCCTGAGTTGCTGTTGTTGGTAGCAATGCCCTCCTGACTCATCCGCAGATGGAGTGGAGAGGAGAAAGGCAGCTAGGGTGTGGGCTGCTCACCGAGCAACAACTCCACCCTCACCCACTTCCACTTTTCCCCCGTCACTCACCTGCCCTGTCCCTGTCAGACCAAACCGGTCAGAACACCCATTACACTGGTTCTCCACCTTCCCCCCACCCCGAGCGGCTCAGCGCCAGCTGAGTCAGACACCCGTCACACAGCCTGATTTGTGTCTTCCCAGCTGACATTCGCTGTCACTCCTGCTACAAGGTCCCTGTGCTGGGCTGTGTGGACCGGAAGTCCTGCCGTCTGGAGCCAGGACACAAATGCCTGACAACAAATGTGTACCTCGGTAATCTGCCTTCTTTAGCGAGGACCAGGGGCCAGCGGGAGACTCTGTGGCTGAGGCTGAGGCCCAACTGGGGCTGAGGCTGAGCTGGAACAGAGAATGACAGCAATGAGAACTTTTGGCCAAAAGATGATCCACATTCTGTGTCTCTATGTGGATCGTTTCAATTTCTGTTCATGACAACCCTGTGATGTGGCTGTTATTATACCTCGGAAACAGCCCAGAGAGTGGCAGGAATAGGGCCAAGGCACCCCAGCCGGCAAGCGACAGGACGGGGCTTGGGAGAGACAGAGGAGAAAAGAAGGGGAAGCTGGGGCAGAACTGGGAGAAAAGGAGGGTGAGTGGGTGCATGGGGTGGGGAAGGGGCACAAGCATCCCAGGTGCCCATCCCGCTGACACCATTGCCCACTCCCACCCCCAGGCAAGATGTGGGTTTTTTCCAACCTTCGCTGCGGCACGCCCGAAGAGCCCTGTCGGGAGGCCTTCAACCAAACCAACCACAAGCTGGGCCTGACCTACAACACCACCTGCTGTGAGAAGGACAGCTGCAACAGCGCCGCCCCGCGGCCCGCCCCGGCCCTGGGCCTGGGCCTCCTCACCGCCTTGGCTGGCCTTGGCCTCTGGCTGCTGCACTGACACCCACTCCTCCCCGCCTCAGCCTCAGCCTCTCCCGTGTCTCCCGATCCCCTGGCTTCCCACAGTGGTCTCCCCTAGTTCCCTTTGCTCAGAAAAACATTTCTCTAGACCCTTCACATTTCTTTGATTAGACTGTGGTCTCCCTGTCCGTCATTCTACCCCACCCCTCCTCTCCGCTTTGCTCAGTGCCTTCCCCTGTCCTCCAGACCACTCCAGACCTTCCGCTGGCCCCCGAAGGGCTCCCCTTTGTGCTCTGCACTCCTCCGTGCCCTGCTGAGGGGGCCTTGGGGTCTGGGCCTGTCCCCGTGATGGCTCGAGAAGAGACCTGAGGACCTTGCCCTGCTCCCCTCTTTCCATTTTGAGTAATAAATGCCTGTGTCCAGCGAGTCGTGCGTTTATTGTCAGGAGCCCTGCTGTCCAGCTCCCACAGCCCCACCTGGCCCAGGACCCTTCAGGGAGTTCCCTGGCAGCTGGGCTGGGGCAAACGGAGAAACAGGTTTTTCTGGCCTCCACCCTCCCTCCCAGTATGGGGGTGGCACACAGGTCCCAGTGTTTGGAGACAATCCTTATCTCAAACGTAGGTCACACCTCTGAGGGCTGCCAAGAAGGAGCAGCCCTGCTTGAGGGCTCCCCAAAAAGGGTAGGAAAATCCCATGAGGATGGGACCCAGGACCCTCTTTGCAGGCGTCAGTCCCAAGGTTAGAGTCAGAGGCCCCCTGGCCGGGTTACTGAGTGAGCCGTCTAGCACAGGCTTCCATTCATCCCCTCTCAGTTCCAGAGTCCTACTGGGAGCCGCGCTGCAGGCAGGGAAAGGAGAAGCACCCAGACACACAGTTCATTGGTTCTGTGAGCCCCACTGAGCCAGCGCCGCTCCCCTGGGCGATCCTCATCGCTGAGGAAGGCTCTCCCTAGCAACAAGGGCCAGGCGTAAGGTAGGGCAGACTCTGCTTTGTCCTCTGGGGTTGGGTCGGATAAGGAGTGCATCACCATAACCCTGAAACTAGTCATGTAACTCCTTCAGCCCTCCCACCAACAGATGGAATTTTCCAGTCAGCTCTAGAGTGCTCCGTAGATTTTAACGGCTCCCAGAGGAGTGTGTGTCTCCTCACCTCAGACCTCCTTCATTCCCTTGCTCCCTTCTGGTTTCCTAGTCCTGCTCCCCTCTCCGGAGTCCCGGCAAGACCCAGGCCGGGCGCTGTCTGGCGCAGCCAAGACGCAGCCAGGGCACAGGTCTCGCCACAGCGCTGCTGCACAGGCCTCAGCCCTCCGCCTCCAGCCTGGTTTCCACCCACTGCAGTGACGGGCCGAGGCACGGTGGCCGCTGGTGGCCACGGAGGCTGAGGGAGACGGAGGCGGAGGTGTCAGCCTCCTGGCTGGACCACTTGCCTTCGTTCCGGGCAGAACAGACGGGGTTTCGAGGAGCAGGAAGGGATCCTCTGCTCCTCAGGAAACACCTCCCTAAACCAGTGATCAGAGTTCTCACACTGGCATCGTGCCCCCGGTGACGCCCTGTGCTGTTCTTGCCAAGAGCTCAGGACCTCGATCTAAATGTGAGAAAATGCCAGATAAACCCATGTTGAGGGACGTCCTATGAAATAACCTACCAGACCCAGCCGGCATGGTCAGCCGTTGAGCATCGATCTACGAACCAGGAGGCCACGGTTCATTCCCCGTCAGGCACATGCCGGAGTTGTGGGCTCCATCCCCAGTGTGGGGTGTGCAGGAGGCAGCCGATCAAGGGTTCTCATCATTGATGCTTCTATCTCTCCCTCCCTCTCCCTTTCTCTCTAAAATCAATAAAAATATTTTTTTAAAAGTAAAATAACTTACTTTCAAGGTCATGGAAGACAAAGACTCAGGACTGTCGCAGATTGGGGCGGTTAAAAAGACACGAGAGCCCAGGGCAATGTGGGCTTCTGGGATGCGCCCTGGGACTCTGGCTAAAGCAAGGGAGGCCTGCAGGCAGGCAGAAGCGCTGCACAGCGCCTTTGCTGGTTTTGATCATTGTACAGTTGGCCCGTGAACAATGAGGGTTTACACTACAGGTCACTTACATCAAGACCCCTCCCCCATAAGTATACAGTTGGTCCTCCTCTTCCGGGTTCCACATCTGCAGATCCAGCCAACTGCGGACTGAAAACAGGGCCGACTATGCGTTGTTCCATGCCATTTTATTATTTATTTTATTTTTGATGCCATTTTCTGAAAGGGACTTGAGCGTGGGGGGTTTTGGTATCGGCAAGGGGGTGGGGATTGTGTTCTGGAAACAATCCCCCTCAGATACCAAGGGACACTGGTACGTTTTGGGGGAGTCACAAGTTATACAGACTTTGAGCCGATGTGACACCGCTGACTCTGCGCGTGCCAGGGCAGCTGTACTCGGCCACGTGAGCTGTGCACTGGAGGAAGCAGGGGAAGGGTACACAGGCATTCTCTGTGCCATTTTTACAACTTTTTTGTCAATCTAAAATTATTTCAGATAAAAAATGTAAGCACACACCCCTCCCTGCTCCTCAGCTGATGCTGGAAAGTTGAATTTTTGTTTAATATTTGGTCCTTGCTCTCAAGGGACTGAGGTGTTTTGTTTTTTTATCTTACTTAATAACAGATAAACATGTAAACTGACACTACCTCTGCTATGCCCACAGCCAATCAGAATGAGTATGCAAAATAACCCAACAAAGATGGTGAGTTAATTTGCATATGCAGGCATAGAGCAGCCAGGAGGGTTGGGATGCCTGTGATGAGGGGGAGGGGCGGGGGCAGGGGGGGGAACGGGAGCGGTGCTCCCGACAGAGGTGAGGACTTGCCTGCTCCCAGGCAGCTGGGAGTGAAGCCAGGGGAAGAAAGGCCTAATCTTTTTCTCTTTTTTTTTTAAAGAATATTTTATTGATTTTTTACAGAGAAGAAGAGAGAGGGATAGAGAGTCAGAAACATCGATGAGAGAGAAACATCCATCAGCTGCCTCTTGCACACACCCCCACTGGGGTTGTGTCCGCAACCAAGGTACATGCCCTTGACCGGAATTGAACCTGAGATCCTTCAGTCCACAGGCTGACGTTCTATCCACTGAGCCAAACCAGTTAGGTCAGGAAGGCCTATTCCTGCACAAATATCATGCAACAGGCCTTTAGTTGCACATAACGACCGATCAACAGGCTGTGTGTGCAGAAGGCATGGGTGAGCGGGGACTTGCAGCATCGGGGACTTGGGTCACGCCGTCACACTCCATCACCAGGAGGCCTGGGGCCCGGCAAAGGCCTCTGCACGCCAAGGCCTGGGGGTCCCAGAGCCCCATGCGGCACAAAGGCAGGACCCCTGGCTCTGGCCTACCTCCTTGGGGCAATCCATCAAGGGTCCCTGGATGGGTGGGCGGGACCTACCTCTTTGGGGCAATTGATGGTGGGGCTCCCACACTGTGACAGGCACAGGCTAGGCTGTGGCACCCCCTGCCCTGAGTGCACAAATTTTGTGTACTGGGCCATATGTATTGACCCCCAAGTATATATATTGACTTTTTGAGGGATAGAGAGTTAGAAACATCGATGAGAGAGAAACATCGATCAGCTGCCTCCTGCACAGCCCCCACTGGGGATGTGCCCGCAGCCAAGGTACATGCCCTTGACCGGAATCAAACCCGGGACCCTTGAGTTCGCAGACCGACGCTCTAACACTGAGCCACACTGAGGTTTCTAACCGTGTGAGTGAGTGGGCCTATGAGATTCTGGAGGGCAACGAGGGGCAGGTGGGACACACGGACAGCAGACAGAGGTCCTGAGGGGCCCAGACTCAGCCTGACCCTGGAAGGTCTGCAAGCAGGAAAGCACGGGGCGGGGGTGGGGTGGGGGCGGGGGAGAGACAGGACTCACAGTTCACGGACAGCTTGCTCTGCCTGGGCTCGTTGGGGTTTGCCAGCGCCATGCGCAGGGGGCCCTCGCCCCAGCCGGTCACGGCTCGGCTCTGCCAGGGGCACTGCAGTCGAGAGGAGGCCTGGACCTGGCAGAGGGCGACCCGCCTGTGCAGCAGGGGCCTTGGCTGCCTTCTCACCCGGGCAGCCCCACAAGGGGGCATGTGTCTGCCCGGGTCAGCGCGCCTTCCCGCCCACGGCCCACGCCCGCCTGCCCTGGGCTGTGGAGGCGGTGAAGGGCGCCGGGTCCCTCAGCGGGCACCGGCACCCAAGCGGCAGCCAGCAGGCTGAGTGTGGGGGAGAGACGAAAGCCCAGTGGTCTTTGTTGGGAAAGAAGTGCTTTTTCACAAAAACGTGTTAGGCTTCCATGGAGTGGGTCATTGTTTTAATTTTTAGGGAAGCTATTTAAAATGTTCTGTTCTGATTTCTAAGAGTAAATGTTACTATAGCTCACTAAGAAGGCTCTTGGGGTCTTCAGTAACCTTTGAGAGCTGAAGGGGGCCTGAGACAGGAGAGCCCCAGTTCCAATGCCCCAACACCCCAATCCTGCTGCTCTGAGCAGAGCAGCACCTCCACGCCTGCCCCACCCAGTCCTGTCCTGAGACAGTCCCGCCCGAGTCTGCAGATGGCTGTCCCCTGCCCGGTCTCTCAAACCCCTGTCTCCCCGACTCCGCCCCTGCCCAAACCCTGTCCCCCTCCCTGGTCTTTCTGGCCCCCGCACTGACCTACCGCGTGGAAACACACCAGGCCTCTGACCTCACACGCTGCTCAGGCGGTAAAGCCGGGAGAGATCGTACGGGAAGGGATGTTGGGCGTGAAGGGACCTGCGTTGAGTGGGGCCCTCCCTTAAGCAGCTGGGTTTGTGTTGGTGGTGGAAGGAGGTTGTTGATCCCACACTTAAACGGATCTGGGCCAAAACCGGTTTGGCTCAGTGGATAGAGCATTGGCCTGTGGACCGAAAGGTCCCCGGTTCGATTCCGGTCAAAGGCATGTACCTTGGTTGCAGGCACATCCCCAGTAGGGGGTGTGCAAGGGGCAGCTGACTGATGCTTCTCTCTCATCGATGTTTCTAACTCTCTATCCCTCTCTCTTCCTCTCTGTAAAAATTCAATAAAATATATTTTTTAAAAAACAAAAACAACCAGATCTGGGCCACGGCTGTTTGTAGGGTGACCCAGAGCATTAATGCCCAGAAGGGGAAAGAGGAAGCTGAGACCAGGAGAAGAGCTGAGAGACAGCTTTCTAACACTCCTACAACTCTCCAACAGCTTCAGCAAGGGCGGGGAGCGGCGGGGAGTGGGCAGGGAGGGGCGGGGGGGGGGGGGGGAAGGTGTCAGACACTCCGGAGCTCAGAGTCCCTGAGAGAACAGGCTTCTCAGGGCGGGAGGTGTGGGTGCTCAGGCTGGGGAATGTGGCTGGTCCTCCCGCTCCCAGCCTAGGTGTGTTTGTTACTGGTCCCTCCCAGTGGCAGATGCTCCTGCCCTCGGCCTGGGGCACTCAGCTGCAGTCACATTCGCCCAGCCATGGGCCCCTCCAGCGCCGCCCTCTGCATCCTGATCTTCGGTGGGGCGCTGGGTAAGGGAAGGCTGGGGGTCCGCTGGGGCAGGGGGGGAGCAGCAGGGCAGGTTCACGGAAAAGCCTGAGGCTGGGAGGTCTGAGAGAGCCAAGGAGAGGTTAGGAGCGTTAGAAAGGGGCTGCCCAGCCCTCGGAAGGCACGGAAGCCTCTTCCCTGCCGCCTGTCTCCCGCCGTCTCACCTCTTGCTTCTTCGCCGGCTCCTTGGTGAAGGCAGTTCCAGTGTTCTCACCTCTTTGGCACCGTCGCTAATCTACGGCCGCCTCCCACCTGGCGCCTGTCATTCTCTCCGTTCATCTGGCTCTCTCGGCTTCTGTTCACGTCTGTGTCTATCTCTTTCCCCGTCTCCTGCCCGGGCTGTGTCTCCTTCCCCACTTCTGTGGCCCTCCTGCCCCTTCAGCGCTTCCCTCTCCTACTCGCGGCCCTCACTCCGGGGGGGCCCTCACTCCGGGGGGAGCCCTCACTCCGGGGCCCTCACTGCGGGGCCCTCACTCCGGGGTCCTCACTCCGGGGGGGCCCTCACTCCGGGGCCCTCACTCCGGGGGGAGCCCTCACTCCTGGGGGGGCCCTCACTCCAGGGGGGGCCCTCACTCCGGGGCCCTCACTCTGGGGGGAGCCCTCACTCCGGGGCCCTCACTCCGGGGGGACCCTCACTCCAGGGGGGGCCCTCACTCCGGGGCCCTCACTCTGGGGGGAGCCCTCACTCCGGGGGGAGCCCTCACTCCGGGGCCCTCACTCCGGGGCCCTCACTCCTGGGGGGGGGCCTCACTCCGGGGCCCTCACTGCGGGGCCCTCACTTGGGGGGCCCTCACTCTGGGGCCCTCACTTGGGGGGCCCTCACTCCGGGGCCCTCACTCCGGGGGGGCCCTCACTCCGGGGGGCCCTCACTCCGGGGCCCTCACTAGGGGGGCGGGCCCTCACTCGGGGGCCCGTCTGGGGTCCTGGCTCAGCCTCTTACATGCCTGTGCCTCTTCTCTGCCTCCTGGTCTCCTCCGGGCAGGTCTCCCGGCCCCAGCCCAGGGGCGGCTCCGCTGTTACACCTGCAGCTTCGCCAAACCCTGCTCCCCCGTTCCCACCGAGTGCCGGGACGATGAGGCTTGTGGCGTCAGCATCGGCACCTCAGGTAGGCTCCGTCCAACAGCCCTGCTCCCGGGGTTCCCCAGGCCCCCGTCCCTGCTGCCCTCCCTCCCCGTCCTGCCCTCCCTGCTGCCCTCCCTCCCCGTCCTGCCCTCCCTGCTGCCCTCCCTCCCCGTCCTGCCCTCCCTGCTGCCAGCCCTCCGTCCCTCCGTCCTGCCCTCCCTGCTGCCCTCCCTCCCCGTCCTGCCCTCCCTGCTGCCCTCCCTCCCCGTCCTGCCCTCCCTGCTGCCAGCCCTCCCTCCCCGTCCTGCCCTCCCTGCTGCCCTCCCTCCCCGTCCTGCCCTCCCTGCTGCCAGCCCTCCCTCCCCGTCCTGCCCTCCCTGCTGCCAGCCCTCCGTCCCTCCGTCCTGCCCTCCCTCCCCGTCCTGCCCTCCCTGCTGCCCTCCCTCCCCGTCCTGCCCTCCCTGCTGCCCTCCCTCCCCGTCCTGCCCTCCCTGCTGCCCTCCCTCCCCATCCTGCCCTCCCTGCTGCCCTCCCTCCCCGTCCTGCCCTCCCTGCTGCCCTCCCTCCCCGTCCTGCCCTCCCTGCTGCCCTCCCTCCCCGTCCTGCCCTCCCTGCTGCCAGCCCTCCGTCCTGCCCTCCCTCCTCCGTCCTGCCCTCCCTGCTGCCCTCCGTCCCTCCGTCCTGCCCTCCCTGCTGCCCTCCGTCCCTCCGTCCTGCCCTCCCTGCTGCCAGCCCTCCGTCCTGCCCTCCCTCCCCGTCCTGCCCTCCCTGCTGCCCGCCCTCCGTCCCTCCGCCGGCCAGCCTCAGCGGAGCCCCTGCCTCCCACAGAGCAGAGCCAGGTCATCCAGCGGAAAGGCTGCCTCCCCAGAGCCCAGTGCCCGCTGCCCGGCCAGGCCACCTACTGGTCTCGCTCCTACACGCTGCGGCACCACTGCTGCGAGCGGGCCCTGTGCAACGCGGCCCCGGCCCCCCAGCGGCCCGCCGGGCCCCTCGCGCCCACCCTGCTCCTCGCGGCCAGCCTCCCTGCGGGGCCACCTCCTCCACTCGCCTCCAGCCCGGCCCTCAGCCCAGGACGCGGCCGAGCACCCCGCGGGACAGGCAGGCCCGCTCCCTGGCCAAGGCCTCCGGGGAGCCCTCACTGCTCCCCCCTGCCCTGCCCAGAGCCCAGCCTCATGAGAATACTGTCCTGGGACTTCGTCTTTTCTGGCGCCCAGGCTGACGCCCTCCCCAGCCCAGGCCTCTGGCGGGGCAGGTGGTTGGTGGAGCTGTGGGTCCCAGGCCTGGACGGAGGGGCGTGCATGGAGAGGAGGCTGTCTTGCTAGGGAGGGTGCATTTGGTAGGTCAGGAACTTAGGAAGGAGGGCCCGGGGAATGATGGAGGGCAAATTTAATAAAGTGCTAAAGGGGCTGGTAACACCGCCGTGTGTGTGTGTGTGTGTGTGTGTGTGTGTGCATGTGTGCATGCGTGAGTGTGTGTGCATGTGTCTGTGTGCACGCGTGCATGTGCATGCGTGCATGTGTGTGTGTGTTTTCTCTAAAGCAAACTGTAGCTCTTGTGTGTGTGTGTGCATGTGTGTGTGTGTGTGTGTTTTCTCTAAGTAGGGGTGTCGAACTCAATCAGAGAAGGGGCCAAAATCTAAAATCCAGCCTAAATCGCGGGCCGAATGGTTTACTGAACAGTCATAAACTGTCATTGTGATGGAAACGCAGCGGAGTGCAGTGATGACAGCGCGGTGCGGGCCACATTGCAAGGCCTGGCAGGACGGATTTGGCCCGCGGGCCTTGTGTTTGACACATGTGCTCTAAAGCAAACTGTAGCTCTTGGTGGTTGTGCTGGGCTGAAACCCGAACTCTGTCACCTGTTCTCTGCCACTCGAGCCTCCTTCTGCCGACAGACAGCTGAGGCCACGCAGAGGGGCGGCCTCAGGCCAGACGCCCAGGAAGCCTGTCCCAGCCGCCGGCTCCAGCAGGCAGTGCCGCGCTGGAGGAGCTGCCTGTGCGGGTGCCGGGAGCCCGCTCACCTGCCTGACCGCGGACGAGCTGGAGCGTCCCTGCCCGCTCACCAGCCCACACCGGGCGCCTCTCCCACGGACACGCCTGCCCAGGGAGATAGTGTGTGACTCTGGGATCCCGGATGTCAGGGTGACATAGCGGCTCGCCACTCCGGATGCCACGATGGAGTGCCCAGGATAAGGAGGGTGGCGGGCGAGCATGGGCCCCATATGGACCGGCTCCTCCCCTTCCATCTGAGGGCGTCTGGGGTCTGAGTGAAGGTGCTGTTCTCTCAGGCTCCTCTGCTTCGTGGCGATGGAGCTGCCGGCTTCATTCAGAGGCAGCTTGCGGCCCCTCCCCATCTCCCTGCCTCAGGCCTCCTGCCGTGGCTCCCATTTCCCTGCCTCTGACAGGCTCACCTGGATCTGACTTGAGTCTCCGCCCTTCTCTCCTCCTCAGTTCCCCCCATTTGCCCTCCGGCTCAAGGCCCTGGGTTCCTCTGTCTTCTCTCTGCCCACCCTCCCTCCTCACCCCTGCCAGCTGCACTGCCAGCTGCACCAGGCTCCCCGAGCCCCATGCCTGTGGTTCAGGGCCACTCTCCACTGGCTGCTACAGATAGAAGACCACACTTTTTCTTGCTTTTCTTTTCTTTTTTTAAAATATATTTTATTGATTTTTTTACAGAGAGGAAGGGAGAGTTAGAGATAGAGAATTAGGAACATCAATGAGAGAGGAACATCAACCAGCTGCCTCCTGTACAACCCCACATGCAACCAAGGTACGTGCCCTTGACCGGAATCGAACCTGGGACCTTTCAGTCCTCAGGCCGACGCTCTATCCACCGAGCCAAACCGGTTTCGGCAGACCACACTTTTTCAAAGGTGACATCACAAAATAATGACTCTCCTTTCCTCCCGCCGCCCCCAACGCGCACAGCTGGCCGGGGAGACCCGCCCTCCTGCCGAGGGCTCAGGGGACTGGGCGGTGCCACGTGGCCAGGAGCGGCGGGCACTCTCCAGCAGGTGCCCGAGATCATCTGGCCGCGGGGGCAGGTGGGCTGTGGGTTTTGTGAAACAGAAAGACAGGTAAGGACACTTCCATCCCTGGCCCTCAGGAACAGGACTCAGTGTGTGTGTGTGTGTGTGTGCCCCCGCCCTCGGGACTGAAGCCGCGGCCCTCGCCGTTCCTCACCTCAGACGGGCCAGGTGGATGTTCTCATAGACCTGGATTTCAGGTTTGAACTGAGGAACCGAGGCCTCTGGGGAGAAGGAGCCGCAGGGAGTGAGGCCGGCAGTCACCGAGAGCCCAGAGCTGAGTCCCCTCCCCCGGAGAAGATGGGGCCCAAAGGCAGTGCTCTCTGCTTCCCTGTGCGGGCAGGTGGGGCCCCTCACCTCTGCACGGAGCCCCCTGGGCCCGCCGCCTCCAGAGCACGATGCTGAGGACCAGGATGGCGCAGGCCTGGCCCGCGGCGAACAGCAGCGTCAGGAGCCAGCGCACGTCCCAGGCCTCGGAAGGGGCACAGAGGGCAGGGGAGGCATCCGTGGGGGCTGCATAGGGAAGACGATAAGGCGGTGAGGGGTCTGTCCCGCGCCCCAAAGAGAGGCTCCCCTCAGCGACTGGTGGGCTCTCCCAAAAGAGGACTTCCTGTTTCCTGTCCCCGGGTCCCCCACTTCGCCCCTTTCTAGGTCGCTCACCCCACCCCGTGAGCCAGCATGGGCGGGAATGGCACCGCCTCCCACACCCAGCCACACGGACAGCGACTCCATCGGACAGCCGTCCTGCATCCCTCCTTCCAGTCACTCACGCCCGCCCGCCCGCCCGCCCGCCCGCGGTGCGCGGGTGCAGGGGCAGAAAGGCCAGCGTTGGCCTTTGCCGATGGAAATGGGGGCCATGCTCCTCCCTCTGCTTGTGAAGGGGTTATCCCCACCCAATGGCATCCTTTCTTTGGATAAGGGACGTTCTCTGGTAAAACAATCCTGTTTCTCTCCTGCCTTTCCTATCAATGGGCCATTATACCATCAGCGCATACGTCTTTTCTATTTCTCCCTCTCCGCTACGGGAGATTTCACACAAAGCACAGGCTAGCTGATTCTAAACAACTCCACAGAATGCTCCTCCTCCCGCTTGGCTAGTGTCTGTTCCAGAAAGCCGGCGTAAGCAGCCCCTCCTCTGTCACAGGTTCAGGAGAAAGAGCCTCCTCCCCAGCGTGGTCCGCGCCACCGCCCCGCCCTCCTGCCCGCCTCCCTCCTCCTCCCCTGGCCGTGGGGTGGGGTGCCGGAAGCAGCCCCCTCCCAGACCCCGTCCCGGCCCGTTACCTGCCAGGCTGAAGCTGAGCCCCTTGTGCTGAGGCACGACGCAGCGGACGAGCCTTGGCCTGCGGGCCCTGGCCTCAGGAAGCCCCTCCCCAGGACACACCAAGAGCAGGGCAGCCCCATCGCCCCAGAAGGCCTGCACATGGCCCCTCACGGGACCCTTCCCCTCCAGCCAGGCCACAGAGTCCAGGCGCCTGGCGGGGACCACAGCGCACAGAAGGACAGAGCAGGGGGCTCCGTCTGCAGCCTTTGCAGATAACTGGGATCCTGTGGGAGAGAGGGCCCCTCAGTTCCTTGCTCAGGCTCCCCCTTCTCCCGGTGGCCGTGGTCTCATGCCCCACTCACCTTTGAGCACGGAGACATCATACACCCTCCAGTTCTGGTATCTGTGGTGCTGCCCCAGCACCGCGCACCAGTACCGCCCGGCGTCTCCCTCCTTGGCCCCTTCCAGCCACAGAGAGTAGTTCCCCAGCAGTTTGAGCCTGGATTCCCTTCCAGGCCTCCCAGGGCCTGGGGCTCGGGCCACCAGGGTGGTGGAGGAGCCTGTGGCGGGGCTGTGGAACCAGGACAGGACTTCGTCCCCGTGCAGGGTGGGCGGCGCGGGACATGGCAGCTCCACTGCTTCCCCCGAGGCCACATAGAGGGCCTGGATGTCGTCTGTAGGGAGGGGCTTGTGTGAGGCCAGATACCCCCATGAGATCAACCCCCCACCCCCGCCCCAACTCAACCTCCAACCCCTGGCTTCCTTCCTTTCTGAGGCCTCCCAGCACTGGTCCGGCTACAAGCACACTTCTCACGGGACGGCTACAAAAACAGGTGGAGAGATGAGGGTAGTGCTTTCCTCCCCTCTCCCCAAACGAGTGAGGGAATCTGAGGGCAAGAGAGAAAAGGTGGGAATAGTTGGTAAACACCCGTATCTCTTCCTCATATTTCTCCTTTTCTGGAAGCGTTTACTCACCGATTCTTATTTTCTAAAGGAAACTGTACCTGATCTGCATCCTCAGGGTCTCTGAGTCCATCCCAGCATTAGAGACAGGGGGAGGTCAATTGGGGAAACTACCTTCTTGAATCCGATGCCTGCCCTGGGCCCCTAAGGAGAAATGGCGGCCTTGCAGGACCCCCGCCGCCTGCCTTTTACCTGCAGCAGCCTGCGGAGGCCCCCGGAGCAGGGGGAGGAGCAGGAGGAGGAGGAATGAGACCGCCATGGGAGAGCCTTCCAAGTTCTCTGGTGCCCCTGGAGGAAGCGGAGCCAGATAAAGGCCTGCACGCCCGCTCCGGGGGACAGGCTCCGGAGGGCATGGGAAGCTGGGGAGATAAAGCGTAGTTGCAAGCCTGCCTGTGGAAATGGCCACTGCCTCTCTGCCTGAGGGGAAAGACCCGGTCCCGGCCTCTCCAAAGGCAGCTCCTCGCCCTCTGACCCCGGCCCGCGGCTGAGGACTCAGAAGCCGCTCCACGCTGAGCCTGCGCGGGGAAGCCTTCCTCCTCCTCCACGCTGAGATGCCCGCCATGAGGAAGGAATTGAGTCTCCAGGGAGGTCTCCATGGACCCCAGTCGGTACCTCGGAAATTATTTAAACCGGCCTTCCTCGGGGCTGCCTGGCATGCCACAGACCGCCCCCCACAGCCTCTGAGGCACATTATTACTCACGGGGGAGAGTAGCAATGGCCTGGAAAATTCACTGGCTCGTCCCTTTGCCCCAGGCAGTGCTCTCAAGGCAGATCTTCAAGTGGCCTACAGTTCTTAAAGTCTACTTCTTTTCTTAATTTTATTTTTGTAAAATAGTCTATGTTAAGTCTGATCAAATAATTGAATCAATATCCCCTCCTCTGGGAACAGACCTTCAGACCGTTTCACAATGGACATTCCCTTTCGTTTAGACCACATTCACGTGCTAAGACCGTTATCTCTCCCCTCCAGAGTTCCCCAGGATCCAGACCCGCACAGAGAACTCTCCACCCAGAAACAGCCCGCCTAGAATCCTTTAAAAACCACTGGCTCCCCATCTTTGGGGGTGCTGGCATTATTTTGGGGCTCAACCCAGCTGGTCTCCAGATGACCTAATCCTATATAATAAAAGCCCAATATGCTAAGTGTCTGGTCATCTGGTCTTCTGTTCAACCAATCAAAGCATAATATGCTAATGATATGCTAAAGCTGCTCAACCACTCACTATGACATGCACTGACCACCAGGGGGCAGATGTTCTGATCAGTAGGTTAGCTTGCTGCTGGGGTCCGGCGGATCGGGACTGAGTGAGACGGGCCAGACACGCCCTGGAGCCCTCCTGTACCTCTCCCTGGCTGCCCAATCTCGTGCATCCCTTCCCAGCCCTGATCATGCACTGGTGGGGTTCCTCGGCCTGCCCTGTGCCCTCTTGCAATCCCAGACCCCTCAAGGGGTTCATATTGTTACAAAGGTTCCTCATTTCTTCCCCCCTCCAGACCCCTCAAGGGGGAACCACTGTCAGGTAGTTCCATCTATATAATGAAAGCCTAAGCCACCATATGGTGGAACTCCCGAATGACTGGTCACTGTGATGCACACTGACCGCCCAGGGGCAGACTCTCAACGCAGGAGCTGCCGCCTCGTGGTCAGTGCACTCCCAAAGTGGGAGCACTGCTCAGCCGGAAGCCAGGCTTACACTGGCAAGCACAGCAGCGGCCGTGGGAGCCTCTCACTCTTCTGCAGCAATGCTAAGGAGCGGAAAGCCAAGCAGTAAGGAGTGAGAAGGTGGGCGGTAAGGAGCACGGGGTCCTGGACTGTGAGAGGGTGCAGGCTGGGCTGAGAGACCCCCCCAAGTGTACGAATTTCATGCACTGGGCCTCTAGTCTATATATATATATATAAAAGTTTAAGCAACTGGATCATCAGTGGACCATCTGATAGCTATGAAGCACACTGACCACCATGGGGCAGACACTCAATGCAGGAGCTGCCCCCTAGTGGTCAGTGTGATCCCACAGTGGAGTGTACTCAGCTGACAGACAGGCACCAGAAGCCACTGCTCAGCTGCATGAGCCTCTCCAGCGGACACTCCCCCTGTGGCTCCTCCCCAACCACCTGCAGCTTCGCGCACTACTTTGTGCTGTGCAGGATCAGGGCAGCCAGCGGGCTAGAGCCTGATGAACTGGTGGGTAAGGCCGGGCTGTGGCAGTGCAGAGGTCGACTGATCTCTGCAGGCCAGGATAAGGGACCCCACTGGTGCACAAATCTGTGCACCGGGCCTCTAGTAAACTTATAATCCCTTACCAATTTGGCCTCATGAGTTCCTCCTCTCGTGACCCTAACAGTCCATGCATACCAAAGACTATATCTAATGCACAACTGTATAACTGTATAAATAAACTGTGGTATAGTTAGACAATGGACCATTTGATAGCAATGAGAATGCACCAACCATCATGATATGCAACCAGATTGAATCTCACAAACATGAGAGTAAAAGAAGTCACAAAATACACAAACAGGCAAAAGTAATCTAAGAAAATCAAGGTTGTGGTTACACTTTGTGGGGCGGTAGCGACTGCTAGTGACCTGCAGAGGGTCTTCTAGGTGGTAATGATGTGTCCTTGATATTGCTGCTGAGGCATGGATACATGCAATTGGTGCACTTTTCTGTGTGCATCAACTGTAATAAAAAGCTAAAGGATGGCCCTTGCCTGCTTGACTCAGAACATTGGCCTGTGGACTGAAGGGTCCCACGTTTGATTCTGTTCAAGGGCATCTACCTTGGTTTCAGGCTCACTCCCTGGCCCTGGTTGGGGCAGGTAAGGGAGGCAACCAATCGATATGTCTCTCTTACATTGGTGCTTCTCTCTATCTCTCCCCCTCCCTCCCACCGTCTCTAAAAGTCAATAGAAAAATATCCTCTGGTGAGGACTTAAAAAGCTAACAGGTATATATATATTATGTATGTGCTGGAGGCTAAGTCCAGTGGGTCATAATAGATATGAGAAGTCTCAAAAGGTTGAATGGACTCTTTCAGCAGGGCTGAAAAATCTGCATATTGTCACCTGCTGCTGGAACAGCCAAAGGCAATTCCCCTAACCTGATAATCCTTTACTGTTTACCAAACCATACCTTTGATATGTATTTTTGCTGTGCTACAGGGGAAAATGTGTTAATAAAAAGGATATGGTCTAGAGATTCAGAGAGCCCACTTCACTAGAAAGTGGAGCCTCTCCTGGTTCCCCCATGCCTTCCAAATTTATATTTCTAGTTTCTCTACTCATTTATGTGCAGCCCTTCTCCAGATTCCTGAACCCTTAATGCTGGAAGACCCTAGCATTTATGGTGCCTGAGACAAGGACGTCTGGAGAAGAAGATTCGCCAGAGCAAATAAAAGAAGTTAATCACCTGTAAGTGTGGGTTCACCGGTAAATTTGGTGGGGACATCCACTGCATGTAAAGCTCACACCGGTTTTGGAAGTCGAGATCCAAAGAGGGAAAGGACGTCTTTTTTTTTTTTTTTTTTTTTTTTTTAATCAATCTTTATTGTTCATATTGTTACAAAGGTTCTTCATTTCTTCCCCCCTCCACCAGGTTCCCACCCTACCCTCCGCCCCCTACCCATCCCCCATTGTCCTCATTTATAGGTGCACAGTTTATGTTCAGTCTCTTCCTCCCTCCCTTTCCCCGATAGTAAATCCCTTTTCAGATAGTAAATCTGTTACTTAGCATTTTCTCATATCAATAATACCACCACATGCCCAATGATACATTTCACACAAAAGACATTTCCCAATAGGTCAACCAGCCTCATCCAGGCCCCACCCAAGGCACTCACAGATCAAAACCCCAGCCCTATACTAACTCAACACATCCAGATCTAAGCCTTCATCACTTGATTCAGCAGACCCTCAAGTTCCCCCAAAAGTTTCCAGCCATGTCTGAGAGGCCGCCGTGGGGCAGGGGCAGGCGAGAAGCGAGCTGTTCCGGGCCTGGCTGCTTCGGGCCTGGCCTCTGTTGCTCTGGTTCATTCCACAACCAGCTGCTCCGGGTCTGGTCACCGCCGCTCCCGACCTAGTTGCTCTGGACCTGGCTGCTGTTGCTCCGGGCCTGGCCGCACCCGACCTGGCTGCTCCGGGCCTGGCCGCTCCCAACCTGGCAGCCGCTGCTCCGGGCCTGGCCGCACCAGACCCGGCTGCTCCGGGCCTGGCCGCTCCCAGCCTGGCAGCCGCTGCTCCGGGCCTGGCCGCACCAGACCCGGCTGCTCCGGGCCTGGCCGCTCCCAGCCTGGCAGCTGCTGCTCCGGGCCTGGCCACACCAGACCCGGCTGCCCTGGGCCCGGCCGCTCCGAGTCTGGCCGCTCCCAGCCTGGATGCTCTGGGCTTGGCTACTGCTCTTCTGGACCTGGCTGCTCCCAACCCGGCTGCTCTGGGCCCGGCTTCTCCGGGTCCGGCCACTCCGGGTCTGGGTGTTCCTGGACTGGCCACCCTGGGCTTGGCTGCCTCCGCCCCAGGTCTGGCTGCTCCAGTGCTGGCTGTTGTTGCTCTGGTTCTGGCTGCTGCTGCTCTGGGGCCTGGCCGTTGCTGCTCCGGGCCCGGTTGCCATTGCTTTGTGCCTGGGCACTCTAGGCCTGGCCGCCGCTGTTCCAACATTCTGTCCTTTTTTTTTTTTAACGCATTTATGTTGCAATGTTGGCTGGTGAGTTGAGTTCTGACTTAGTCTTTGATTTTTCAAGATCTTCTTTGTATTCTTTCTTAAGTAATTTTACTATCTTTTGCTCTCACTTGATTTCTTCACATTGAGAACTTTGGTTTCTTCCTCCTTGTCCTGGGAGCTCAGCAGGTTGGCCTGTGGCACCCCTTTGTTCTCCGCGGGCTCCCGCACTGCTCCAGCCTGTTGCCGGGGTTGGCACCGCCCAGGAAGCAGCTCCCGGCCTTGGCTCCGTTGCCCGCGCTCAGAGGTCGATGGCTCGGGGGCACCCCCCACTGGGGGCCCCGTCGCCTGGCTCCCTGCCAGCGCCCGGCTGGCTGGTGTCCTGGCTGGTGTCCGGCAGGGGCTCCTGCTCCCTGTCGCATTCCTCCAGTCTGGAGCTTTTTTTTTTCCTCCTTCCCGCTCGGGGAGTCTAGGATCAGAGTCAACAGACTGTCCTCTGCGCGCAGTGCGCGCGACTCTGGGGGCTCCGCTTTTTGCCACTCCCCTGGGATTCCGCCTCACAGCCCTGTCTCCCCCTGCCCGAGCCTGGGTCCCCAGGGTCTGGTCCAGGACTGGGGTTCAGAGCAGTCCGGACTGAGGCTCAGCACTGCCGGAGGCTTTGTTTCTTCCGGCTAGGGTAATCCAGCATCAGAGTCAACATTCAGTCCTCTGTGCGCAAAGTGCGCGCGACTACGGGGGCCCTGCTTTTCGCTGCTCGCTTGGGATTCCGCCTCACAGCCCCGTCTCCTCTGCCGGAGCCTGGGTACCCAGGGTCTGGCTCATAACTGGGGGTCAGCGCTGCCGGTTTGGGGGTTTAGCCCAGGCTGGGGGTTTTATTTCCTTCCTGCTAGGGAACGCCAGGCAGCACCCAGCCCTCTCCTCCTCTCCGGCTGCGACCTCTC